CCTCCGTGCCCTCTGTCCCGCCACCCCTGCTGCAGACGTGCGGGGGGCTCTCGCTGGCACCCAGAGGGGCCCCACGCCCGGACACCGGAGGGACAGCGTCTCTTTCTTGTTGACTGTCTCGGGGGCAGAGACAGGCGGGGGCTGGGACTCTGTTCTGGTGTCTGACGGCGCACGCCTGCCCTTGTAAACATTTATGACTGTCTCCCTCGTTACCTCGGCACATCCCCCAGATGCCGGGAACTGGGGAGAGAAAACGAAACTCCCCGAGATTCTGCCGCCTCACGCCCCACCCCCCCCCACGCTGGTGTGTTTGTTTCCCGTCCCCCTTATACTTATTATTATCATTTTAACTGCTTTACTGACATATGGATTCAGAGACCACACAATTCACCCATTTAAAGTACACAATTCAATGTTTTTTTGGTATATTAAATTATTAATTTTTTAAAAATCGTGGTAAAGTATATATAACATGATATTTGCCATTTTAACCTTTTTTTTTGCTGAGGAAGATTGGCTCTGAGCTAACATCTGTGCCATCTTCCTCTATTTTGTATGTGGGACGCTGCCCACATACAAAGCCACAGCATGGCTTGATGAGCAGTGCCTTGGTCCAAGCCCAGGATTCGAACCTGCGAACCCTGGGCCGCCAAAGCGGAGTGAGCGAACTTAACTGCTATGCCACTGGGCCAGCCCCATTTTAACCATTTTTAAGCGTACAATTTAGTGGCATTAAGTACATTCATGTTATTATGCAATCATCATTGCTGTCCGGTTCCAGCACATTCCATCACCCCCAATGGCTGCTGTAGCAGTCATTCCCCATTTTTCTGCCTCCCTCAGCCCCTGAGAACCACGAACCCACTGTCTGTCTGTGGATGTCCCTGTTCTGGACATTTCACATCAGTGGAATCACACACCGTGTCTCCTTCTGTGTCTGGTTCTCTCACTGAGCACCGTGTGTTCAAGGTCCATCCACGGTGTGGCTGTGTCAGGGCCTCACTCCTTTTCATGGCTGCGTCATGTTCCAGTGTGTGGATGGACACGTTGTGTATCCATTCATCAGTCGATGGACATTTGGGGTGTTTCCACCCTACGGCCGTTGTGAATCGCGCTGCTGTAAACATCCGTGTACAAATATCCGTTTGAGCACTTGGTTTTTCAAAGCCTGCCTGCCCAGCTCACCTTCTCACCAAGCCCCCAGCTGCTTTCCCTGTCCTGACTCTCCCAGGGAAAGTCACGATGGCCCCGGGGGGCTCTGATGGGCCCGGTCCAGATGGGCAAACGGCCGTGCAGCCTGGGAGACCATGTGACAGTTAATTTTATGTGTCCGCTTGGCTGGGCCGCGGCATGCCCACATGTGATCAAACATTCTTCTGGATGTCCTGGGAGGGTGTTTCTGGGTGAGATTACCATTCAAACCGGTGGACATGGAGTAACGTGGACGGCCCTCTCTACTGCGGGTGGGACTCGTCCGATCAGCTGAGGGTCTGAACAGAACAAAAGACGGGCCTCCCCTGAGCGAGAGAGAACTCTCCAGCCACGGCCTCTGGACCGGAACTGCCCCAGCGGCCCTCCCGGGTCTCCACCCTGCAGATTTTGGACTTGCCAGCCTCCACAATCAATTCCTTAAAACAAATCTCTCTATGCGCAGCCTATTGGTTCTGTTTCTTGGGAAACTCTGACTACTACGGACCGCCAGGTACTCCGTGGTCAGAGAGAAAGGAGCTCGAATCCCAGCCCCGTCGTCCATGGCCCGCTGGGTCTCGCTGGGTCTCTCTGTTGCTAAGCCTCAGTTTCCCCGCCTATAAAGTCGGGATAGGAAAACCTGCTCCCCAGGCTCCTATGAGGACGAAATGAGACGAAGCAGCTGGCTTGGCCCACAGGTGCCTGATAAACTTCTGCTCAGTCACTGAATGGGGGCTCCAGATGTGGGAGGCAGTGGGAGGCAGCGGTCAGCGGCGGGCACGGCCAGGCGGCCTGGGAGCAGGGCCAGGGGGCTCAGCGCCTGCTCACAGCCACGGCCCGGCTGGAGCTGGCTGATGCCACCGGCTGGGGCTTGCGTCCTGCCTGCTGGCGGCCACTGCAGGGCAGGGACCTAATCCCGCAGCACGCAGCCACGCGGCCCGCAGCCTGCGCCTGGAGAGCTTGGTCACCGCGGTAACTTATATTTTCATGCAACAGTTTTTTATTTTATTTTATTATTTATTTATTTTTTTGTGTGAGGAGGATCAGCCCTGAGCTAACATCTGCCAATCCTCCTCTTTTTGCTGCGGAAGACTGGCCCTGGGCTAACATCCGTGCCCATCTTCCTCCACTTTATATGGGACGCCGCCACTTTATATGGGACGCCGCCACAGCATGGCCTGACAAGCGGTGCGACGGTGCATACCCGGGATCCAAACCGGCGAACCCCGGGCCACCACAGCAGAGCGCACGCACTCAACCACCTGCGCCACCGACAACAGTTTTTTAAAAAGTCAAAATGAATGCAGAATATCCATGATGAACCAAATATCAAGTTTTTCGTTAGACACAGGATCTGATAGGGCTGGTGATCGCCTCTGGAGTTAAAATTTTGACCTTCACTGTGGATTTTTTTCTTTTGGCATTTTGATTTTTGGGAAATATTGCTATGTTATGATACGACTTGTCGTGACGACTGGATATTTTGGCGCTCCCTGGAGTTCTGTGCCCGGGGAGGGTGCCCGGCTCTCCTCACCCTGCTCCCGGCTCTGCCTCCAACACGTGCAGGAAGCAGAGGTGTGCACCCTCGGGGTGAATGAGGCCAAGACGCACCAGCTGGATGGACGGTTAATGACGAGCCCGCCGTGGGCCGGGTGTGTCAGCGCCCCCAGTGCTCCTTAGAGCTCCTGGGGAGTTCTCGTGCCCATCTCCTGAGTACAGGAGGGGACAGGGCTATCCAAGCCACACCCTGTGTCCCCCAAAAGGTGTGTTCAAGTCCTAACCCCTCGTACCTGGGAATGGGACCTTATTTGGAAATATGGTCTTTGCAGATGGAATTAAGACGAGGTTGGGCCGGCCCCGTGGCTTAGCGGTTAAGTGCGCGCGCTCTGCTACTGGTGGCCCGGGTTCGGATCCCGGGCGCGCACCGACGCACTGCTTCTCTGGCCATGCTGAGGCCGCGTCCCACATACAGCAGCTAGAAGGATGTGCAGCTATGACATACAACTGTCTACTGGGGCTTTGGGGGGGAAAAAAAGGAGGAGGATTGGCAATAGATGTTAGCTCAGAGCCGGTCTTCCTCAGCAAAAAGAGGAGGATTAGCACAGATGTTAGCTCAGGGCTGATCTTCCTCACAAAAAAAATAAATAAAAAATAAAAAAATAAAGGATAGAGATCTGTTTAAAAAAAAAAAAAAGATGAGGTCACACTGGAGTAGCGTGGGCCCTGAATCCAATGACTGGTGTCCTTATAACAAGAGAGGACACAGACACACAGGGAGATACCACGTGAAGACAGAGGCAGAGACTGGATTGCTGGAAACCACCAGAAGCCGCAAGAGGCAGGAAGGACCTTCCCATCGAACCTTTGGAGACAGCGTGGCCCTGAGACACTTTGATTTCAGACTTCTGGCCTCCAGAACTGTGCGAGGATGCATTTCTGTAGTTTCAAGCCCCCTACTTTGTGATACTTTGCTGTGGCAGCCCCAGGACCCTACTACAGGGGGTTCTCTCTCAGCCCCCGACAGCCCGGAGCTGGGTCGGTCCCTCAGACCTGGCCCGCGTGCCCTCCATGGCGGATTTCTCCCCGGGGGTTCTCTCTCAGCCCCTGCCAGCCATCTCCACCCCCGGACCCCGCAGCCTCATTACTGATGAAACCCCATGCCCTTGGGCCTCACGCCGGGTCCCCATCTGGTCTACGAAGCAGGCAGTCTGGGCTCCAGGTGGCCTCAAGGGAGGCTCAGAGAGAAAGTGGTAAAGCCAGGTCCAGAGTGAAGACCCCACCCCAAAACCAGCCCTCCCTCCACCTCACCAGCGAGCCCCCCAAGGGTCGTGGGATGGGAGCCCATTCGAGCCACACCGCTGCCCAATGTCCTCGACTGAGAAATGTGTCCGGATGCCGTTTCCTGCCCAAAATGATCATTGAACATGTGGAAACTAAACAACACACCCTTAATACAACCAAGGGGTCCAGGAAGAGACTGCACGGGGAAGGAGAAGGTACTCTGAATGAGAACGAAAATGCAACATACCAAACCTCGCGGGATGCAGCGAAAGCCGCGCCCAGAGGGACACATAGCTGCAAATGTCTGCATTAGGAACGATCTCAGACCTATAACCTGACTTGACACCTTCAGGAACCAGAACGGGAAAGATGCCCCAGGCCAGAAGGAGGAAGGAAATGACAAAGACGGCTCAGAGATAAACGAAACAGAGACTCAAGACGAGAGAGGCAGAATTAACGAAACCAAAAGTCAATTCTTTGAAAAGACCGACCACATTGGCAAACTCTCAGCCAGACTGATCGAGAAAAAGCGGAGAAGATGCAAGTAACCGAAGCTGGATGGGAGAGCAGGACGTTACTGCCGAACTTTTGGAGATGAAAAGGATCATGGGAGAATCCGCGGGCAACTGATGCCAACGAATTAGGTAACTGATGTGAAATGGACAGATTTCCTGGAAATACACACATCGCCCACTCAACCGCCTTCCAGGCTCCACTCACATGTGTCAGAGACCTGTTTCTCCACTGTCCTATCTACAGCCTCGTTTAATCTTTGCAACCTTCTTGGAAAGTTGGAGAACGTTATTTCCGTGGCGGAGAGATGACAGGAATCCGCCCGAATGTCACAGAGCCGCAAAGGGGCGGACCTGGGATTTGAACTCAGGTTTCCTGGCCCTGAGCCCAGAGCTCTTTGCACGGTGACACAATTCCCAGTGTGTCCTGTGGGCGTGAAATACTGTGGCTTGTTTGTTCCTTTTTCTAAAAAACAAGAGATTCCAAGCTCATGAAGTAAGATAAAACGCTTACATACCTTTTTTAGTTTTTCCAACCGAGAAGCACGGCTTTACCCTGTTTGAAAAAGGAGAGAGAGAGAGAGAAAAAAAAAAGCCCGGTTACACATTTTTTACTTAACCGCCTCCAGCCTCTCTCGGAGAAATACTTTGCTGTCGCCAAAAACATAGCATGCGAATTGGAAGCGGCCGTGTCCTGCAGAGAAACTGGGGGGAGAATCCACTTTCTTCTTTACAACAAGTCCATTTAGGAGAGACCACTGTGTTTCTTTGCGGGGGGCGGGGGGAGTCAAGTTTTCTTCTGGATTCCATCTCGTAAGAGGGGGACTCCAAGCCATGGTCTGGTCCATTGGACACGCCAGTACTAGAAAAACATAATATTCAGGAACCCAGCCCGAAACGTACCGCGTGGTATTTTTCCACGTCTGCTTGTTGCTCTGATGGGGGCCACGTGCCGGGGGAAAACGGAGAGGCGGAGGATGCGAACTCGGGGGCAAACCAATTAACCTCGCGGGGAAGAGGTGACAGGTATATGGGTGCAGGAAGATGAGGGATCTGAGGCTGGCCGCCCGGGGCCGGGAGGTCAATAGGAAAGGAAGGGGTCCCCGTGATCGAGGCCCAGGGGTGGGGTGGGCACGGGCACTTGGAGCTGCTGTTTTCCAAGTGGGACCCTGGACAGAGCATCGGTCTCCGATACTTGATGCGCACAGCATGAGGGTCCCTGCGGGCTGCCACGTCCAGCTCTTGGGGTGGCCCCAAGACTGAATGCCAGGCTACACCCTGCTCTCCATGCTGCCCTGAGAATGTACGGCCCGGGGAGGCACGGAAGGAGAGGCGAGTGGTAACCCATCCCGTCCAGCTGCATCGCTGTCTACACGGCCGGCACTGGCCTCCTCTTTGTGGAGCCTCCAGGCTTCAGAGGCTCTGCTGCAAGTCCACACGTCCACCTTGGCCAGACGGGCCTCAGTCTGTATTCCCGGGGGGACCCCTGCAGCGGCCAGGCCATGGCCCACACTCTGAAAAGCCGGCAGCCAGCCCGCCCTCCACTGCTGGGGGAGGCCGGTCCCTGGGGCTCGTGCTACTGTGGGCTGGCCCTGGAGAGGTCACAGAACCCCTGTCCCGGGGCCAACGGGGGCCAGGCTTCCTGAGTTAATAGGCTGTTTCCCTCTTGTTCCCAAGGTCCCCGGTGGTCTCCGAGAGCTGGCCCCTCTTCCTTTGCAACACTCGCTCTTTCCACAAACCAACGGGGTTTTTTCCACCTACGCAAAGGGATGCACCATTGCTGCCACTCCTGGGTCAGAGCTGAGGGCACCGAGCCTTTCTCTGCAGCCCTGGGCCCCGGGGGGCTGGCATCAGAGGCTGGGGGGCCGAGGATGGGTGGAAACCTCCTATGTCAAGGCTCAGCCTGAGTCTTAGGGAGGCTCCAGGGTCTCAGCCACAGGAAGGAGGTGGCTGGGGTAGGCTTCTCTAAAACAGGGTCTGTTCCCCTCGGCACCGCTGGCATGGGGGCCGGGTCATTCTCTGGGGGGCCGTCCTGGGCGCTGTGGGGGGTTGAGCAGCATTCCTGGCCCCACCCACTCGATGCCAGGAGCACCTCCAGTCGTGACAACCACAGGTGTGCCCAGACATGGCCCAGTGTCCCCTGGGGGCAGAATCACCCCCGTGAGAACCCCTGCCTTAAGGAAAGGCTGGATGAGACACACAGAGAACGCAGGCACCAACGTGCCCCGTGAGGCCTGTGGCCCCCATCGCCTGCTGAATGTCATCACTGGGGCTCCCGTGGCCTGGCAGGGAGACAGACCACTGCCGGGCTGGACGCTGGGTGCTCGGGGGACAGGGGTCAGAGGTGGCACCTCCCCATCAGCCTCTCCTCCTGCCCGTGGGCTGGGCCTGAGAAATCTGTGCTGAGCCGTGACGTGCTCATGACAGCAGCCCTGCGTGGGCACCAGGCGGGGGGGTCAGAGACAGTCATCCCCGTTATCCGTGGATTCCGTACCTGCGAATTTGCTTACTCACTAAGCAAATTTCTCTCTAACAGCCAAAGTGATACTGGGGGGGTTTTCCCAGTGGACACACGCAGAGCCAAGGTGAAAAATGTGAGTCACCGACAAGCACGTTCTCACTTGAGCAGGAACAAGGTGACGCTCCGCTGCCTTGTTTCAGCTCAGACTTTAAGCCAGGGTCCTGGTAACTATTTAGTGCCATGGCTTTTTGCATTTTTGGTTTTTGGTGGGTGATTCTGCTGTTTAAAGTGGCCCCCAGGTGTAGAGCTGCAGCTCTGTCCAGTGTCCCTGGTGTGAGAAGGCCGGGACGTGCTGCACGGAGAAAACAATGCGTGTGTGACATGAGCTTGGTTCAGGGTGAGACACAGGCCTGCTGGCCGCGAGTTCGGTGTGAATGACCCAACAGCATATATGAAATAAGGCGTCTTTAAACACAAACACACAGGACACAAGGTCACCTGTAGATCAATTAACGACAATGTTGTGACCTGAGGCCAGCAGGAGCCTCCCCCTGCATTCCCCAGGGACAGCCGTTCCTTGTTCGCTAATTCAGTGTTTGCCGCCACTTTATAGGAACAGAGCTGCCGTAAATAACGAGAATCGACTGTGTGTGTGTGTGTATATATAGACCTATTTTTTTCTTCTTTATGACTCTGAAATTCATTTCACAATTTCATTTCACAAAATCTGGAAACCACATAAAGTAAAGAAAATCATCCATAATCCCACCCCCGCATTCTTCTCAAGCCATATCCACCCACCCACCTGCTTTTGCAAATTCAGGTCTCACATTCTATATGCTATATACCTGCCTTTAACATTCGTCTTGCTTAACATTACGTTGAGAGGGAATTGTTATTTTCCCACGCCACCACAAGTTCTTCTAAAGCTTGACTTTAAAAAAAAAAAATAAACTTTACTTTGTAATAATTTTAGATTGACGGGAAAATGGCAAAAATAGCACAGAGGATTCTCACATGCCCTTCGCCCAGCTTTCCCCAAGGCTGAGATCTGGTCAAAACGCAGAGACGAACACGGCGTGTTACCAAGAAGGTAATTCCGGACTTCATCTGGATTTCACCAGTTTTTCCCCGAAACGTCCCGTCTAGGATACTACGTTGCATTTAGCAACGTGACTCTTTATGTCCGTGTATTTAAACATAAGGGATACACTGTACTTTATATTATTTTTGCTATTATATGTATTATTGCCCATCATTGGACATTTGGGCCAACTCTGGGCATTAAGCTATAGTTCCTGGATTCGGATATCTTGTACTTTTCCCTACTCTTTTATGGAAGTATAATGCACACAGAGAAGACTGTACAGATCATCCGTGTACAGCTCCGTGCGTTTTAAAATGCACGCATTTAAAACTTCCTTGCCTGCATGAAGACACAGGACATTTCCAGCCCTCCAGAAGGCAGCCCTGGGCATCCTCCCAGAGTGACTCACGGCTCTCATGTTATTATTACTATTCCCACTATTACGACCATCCTGACTTTCGCTCCTGAAGACGGGAAAGAGGGTGCAGATTCTGACTGCAGGATGAGACGTTTAGGAGAGAAGGAAGCACTTCCTAGAAGGTTCTAGAAGGTTCTAGAAGACAGCCAGCCAGCGTCTGCTCAGAGGCGTTGAGAAGTCAGTCTCTCTGAGGGGATTCTGAGTGAGCTGCAGCCCTGGTCCTGGATGTTTGTTGGGCCGAGCTGCCTGCTCGCCCTCTGAACCTTGATGCCCTCGTCTGTAACATGAGGGCCCCAAGGGCGGCTGTGAGAACAAAACAGGACAAGCATAGACCTGGAGCTTCAGACGGCACCATCCACGGCAACAATGATAAAAATAATATGCATCGTAAATAATATATAGCCACACAGAAGTAAACCGGATTGTTGGAAGTGGGCGTCCCAGGGTCCCGGGGTCAAGTCGAAAGGCCCTCTGTTTCTGGGGCTGACGCAGGCTGCCACTGAGGAGGCCCCAGCATCCTCGGTCCCCTCTCCTGACTTTATCCGCAGTTTACGGCTGTCGGAGCCTCCGCGGGGGCCGTGGCAGGGCTGAGGTCACCGGGACTGGGGTAGGGACGTCATGCTTACTCTGTGTTTGCGACGGGTCAGAGGTTTAACTTCCCTTCTATCTCCACCACTTGCCTGAGAGAATTGTTACGAGGGTGCTGCAGACCCGGCCGGGCAGGGTACTCAATGCTCCTGGAGAGCGTGGTTCTCCCGTGAGAAGGAAGGGGGGAACATTCTAGAAGGCCTGGTTACTTGTGTGCTTTTTCATTAACAAGGCTCTGCTTTATATGCAGGAGGGGTGGAGGGTTTCATATGTGTGTGTGTGGAGTTGGGGGGGGCCGGTCACTAGATCAGGAGGTCTTTCCTGAGGTTATTCTGCCCACCAGGGACACTAGGTGGTGTCTGGGGACATCTGTGGTTGTCACATTGAGGGTGCTCCTGGCATTGAGTGGGTGGGGACCGGGGATGCTGCTGCACACCCCACAGTGCCCAGGACGGCCCCCCAGAGAGAGGACTCGGCCGCGATGTCAGCAGTGCCGAGAGGGGACCTGGCCTAGGTCCCTTCACGACCCTCGGGGTGGTCAGGCACTGCTGTCCTCTGGGCCCAGGACGGACTCCTGGCTCCCGGCCTGTGGCTTCACCTCTCCACGCCCTCCAGGGCGTCCCCTAGAAGAATTTAAAAACAGATCATCTGCTTTTTTTCCCAAGTCTCAGAAATGCCTGCGACAGACCGCCCAGCAGAGGAAGCTGCCCTGGGTGTCAGAGAAACCGGAACTGCTCTTTCTGATCTGTGCCAGCTCTTCGGGGAGACGGGCGGGGAATCCCCTTCCTCAGGCGTTTCTCTTAGAAGGTTCTCTGCCTTGGACTTCTCAGAACGAGACTGGGCCCGGGGCGGGCGTTCACATCCTCCGCCCACCCGGGGCTTTGCCATCGAATTCAGCAGAGGAGGATTCGGAGGGTCACATCAGAGCCGGCACCCCCAGGCGCCTCGAAACCCCAGAGCAGCTGCCGTGGCCCCCCTGTCCTCTGCCCAACAGCGGG